TTGGCGTTCCCAATGAATCAATTACTACGAAGAGCTTGGAATCTCCAAATATCCATTGTTATGTAAGGCCCTTCGTACACTCGACGTAAATCTTGTAAAATTGGCGATTTTAGTCGTTAAGCGACTTTCGCAATTTTACAGAAGGCTTTGCCATACATTTATCGATATTATTAAATATCGTTTAATTTTAAAATTTTATTAATTTCACCGTCTTCGTGATGCCTTCTTATTTTAAATTTTAGCCAATTTACTTCTGACTATTAAAAGTTACTTGATACTGAGAAATATTATCTTACTTCATACTTTTTACTAATATTATAAATGCGAAAGTTTACATGGAGGGATGGATGTTAGTTTGAAGGTATCTTCAGAACGGCTGCATGATTCTCGTTTAAATTTGGCACACGTGTAGACCTCATAGACTAAATATCAAGTTCAGTTTTAAATTCCGCGAAGACGGAGTCGCGGGCGACAACTAACAGCATCAGAAAAATCTTTTAAAACATCTCTGGCATATTAATACTTCACATGTAAACAATGTTACATACTAAGTTTTAAATACTTCAAGTCCTTTCCTAAGTATTTACGGATGTATCTACATACACATTCATAATGAGTACTGGAATTAATTACAATATAATTAATTAAACATTGCATATCAAATAGCACGACATCGCTTCCTGCAGGACTAAGTCTGCGTTATTAGTGGCTGATTCCACTAAGAGGCTATATAGTAGAGGTAATTTGTTTCTTTTTGTTTGAAATTATTAATATGTTATGCGAAGGGATGATGATGATATAAGCAAAAAAATTAATGAGATTGAATGTATGGATGCAAAGGTAGATGAAGACCAAAAAAGTATGGAATGACTGTGTGAAAGAGGATATGCGTAGGAAGGGGGTAGATTCGGATATGACGGCTGATAGAGATGTATGGAGGAGTACATACTGTGTCGACCCACAATAGGGATAAGGGCAGGTTGATGATGATGATGGAAATTATTGGCCGATTATTAAAATATGTTTTGTATTATTTTTGAAATTGATTGAATAACATTCAACGTATTGTAATAATGGAATTCAACGTATTAAAATATGGAGCGTCGGTGGCTCAGGGGTCAAGCACTTGACTTGCAATCTGCAGGTCCTGGGTTCGAATCCCGCCATGTACCAATGTGTTTTTCGATTTCCGATTTACATATGTACATTTATCCGACGTTCTTACGGTGAAGGAAAACATAGTGACACAACCTGCACATATCTGAGAAGAAATTCAAAGATATGTGTGAAGTCAACCAACCAGCACTTGGTTAGCGTGGTTGACTATGGCCTAATCACCCTTACCTTAGGATAGGCTCCGAGCCCCTCGATGGGGATGTATAGTGAGCTGATGATGTCATGTATTGTAATAAAAGAAACATAATATTAATATTAATACTTTAAAAAAAAGCTTGACCAGTCAGTACGTCGTTTTACATTTAATTTTTATTGGCTTTAAGAATTATTTAATTAAATATAACTCGAATTCAATATCGAGGAAGCTGCATCTATTTGAATAGATGACATCAGATACAAGTTTTAGTATAAATCTTATTTCTTACTAAAATACCTCACTAATATTATAAATGAGAATGTTTAGATGGATGGATGTTTGTTTGAATATATCTCCAAAACGAATGAACGGATCTCAATGCAAATTTAATATACATATAGAACAAACTCCGGAAGAAAATATAAGGCACTAATTATGTTTTTTTTAATTCCGGGCGGACAGAGTCGCGGGCAATAACTAGTATACACATAAAACTAAAATATTCTTTCGGATGTGTGATCATTCGTCATATTTTTGTGACGAAATTATGTGTTAACAATATACTATTTATATAACACTAGCTGTCGCCCGCGACTCTGAAAAGAAAAATACTTAATAAGTAGTAGTTTATTCTTCCAGCTATGTTCTACATCTATGACAAATTTCAGCGAGATCAATGCTGCCGTTCTAGAGATACCTTCATACAAACATCCATCAAAACATTCGCATTTATAATATTAGTAAGATGTAAAATTGTAATTTACTGGCACTATATAACGTGTCAGGGTTTCGTAATTAAATTTTTCATTTTTCATTAGAGGTTAAAAAAAACAATTGGATTTGTCGGCATCTTTGTGATAAGGCTATTTATAAATTCATAACATACAAAATAAAGTTCAAAAGTTTCATAATTCCGGTTTCCCCAAATTTGAAGGCGGGAAAAAAATACTGGCAGAGTATAAAATATTGCGGGATTTTTAATCTGTGCATAAGAATTATGGTGTATTTAATGCTAATCTTTAAGGTTTTGACATGTTTATTGTTAAATGTACAGAGTTCAATAACATTTGATAAAGGATTTTGCGTGAACCGAATACCAAAAAAAAACATACAATTGTTCTCAAGAAAATGTGTGAATAAATTAGTTTTGCAGTGCTTATTTGTGTTTTTAAGTTTTCATTCTAGCTGCCAAGTTTTGCCTTGTGTAGTATGCGTTAGCACCGTAACTATGTAAGAGAAATGCCACAAGAGCGTTGCGGCAGCGGCTTTACTTTTAAACACAGAATGACTACCACAAGAAGTATCAAAGATGCAGCTCAGTATTTTTTCAAACATCGATCAAACATTTTAATTTATATACATTTTAAATCGTCAATAGCCTAATGGTTAAGGGTACGGATTTCCGATCACGAGGTCGGGGGTTCGAATCCCGTCATTCGTCTATTGTCGTAAACACCATAACAAGTCTAGAGCTTAGTTGGAATGGTAAATATTAGTAAATTTACAAAAAAATCTGCTAATATTTTTCAAAAAAAAAAAATAACAACTATTACTATCGCACTCAGAGTTGTATGATTACTTAAAACCGTCCATTAGTGTCTGGTGTGGACATTTCCCATACTTGATCTATACTGATTCTAATAAAGACCATTAAACAAAGTTGACTGCGGCAGTTAGTATATATTGAAATTAATATTATAAAGTTGTACATACATGCACTTATCAAAACATTCTTCGGCGATATTTCGCGGTACCGCGCCTTCCCCGCACAGCATGTGTGGCATCTCCTTACCATTTCGGTGACGGTTCAAATATTTGTTTAGTTTGAACGTAACCAACACACCTGTCTATCTATTTATTCAATATGCAATAAAATTACGCTTTCAGTCGACCCACTCAATAGTTGTGAAAATATCGAGACGTTATTTTCACAATCAGACAAATTCACACGTGGGTTTTGATATATCGACGATTACGATTTTGGCAATACCTCATTTGTGTAGGTGACAAATTTGACAAGATCGTAATCCATCATTGCGTATATATTTAATGTTAACATCACAGGGGACAGAAGAGCTGGCAGCAACCTCGGACAAAGAATTAGTTTAGCTATTCAAAGAGGGAATGCTGCTAGTATATTCGGAACCTTGCCTAAAGGGACTCCTTTTAATAATATATTTTAGTTAATTATTCGTTTATAGTATTTTATTTAATATCATTGATTTAAGACTCATTTTATTCATCAAGTATGTCGTCGCAATTATGGTAAATAATTACATTTTAATGTTAACTATGAACGAATTTATATATCACAGCTGTCGTACGCGACCCGTCCGCGCGGTATTAAAATAGATGTTAGCCGAATCTCAGACCTACTCAATATGCTCACAAAATTTCATGAGAATCGGTCAAGCCGTTTCGGAGGAGTATGGAAACGAAAATTGTGACTCGAGAATTTTATATATAAGAAGTTATATTAACTACATAGGCAATAAGGAAAAGTTTCCTCAAGTATTAAATTGCTGTCTACGAGTTATTAATAGATGATATAAACCAGACACGTGTAGATACATATAAAAGTTTCGATTTTAATTAACTTTTTTTTTTATAAGACTCAGGCTAGATAGTGTACATTTGCTCCGAAGGGATTCCAAAACGAATTTCATAAATGTATGGATTTGACTGACAATCACGTGGCTTATCGAAAGTCATTGTCAGTTCTATACATTATTGAAGTTCGTCATGGAATCACTCCGGAGCGAATGTACTTTGTCTACCCACGCTGATCGTGTTTCAGAAGCCTACGATAATCATATTTTTATAATCATGATTTCTAATAATGTCTAATATTAGCGTGCGTTATACTGGTTGACATTTGAAATTGTTTTTAGGGTTACGTCCAAAGAATCTTCAATTAGATTAATTTATTCATTGCACGAAGCTCATAAAAACAAAAGCAAACAGTGGTACTGACACTGACATTTTAAGAACAACGCGGAAATGGTAAGGTGTACAATCCCGGCGAGGCTGTATCGGCTAGTGCGTTCATGTTTTGACTTTCACTTTTATTGCAAAAGGTACAAGTTAGAGATGAACAGCGATCGAAGGACTTGTGACATCGTTGAAGTCTCTTGTATGGAGATACTACTAGGAAGAATACTATGAAGGATTTCAATTTTGGTAAGGCAATTTTTTATAACGAATAAACTAGTGATTGACCATTCCAACCTGGTAAGTGGTGTTGTAGTTGACGATAACTATTTGTCCTTCAAGTAGCAAGCATATCACCTTTTTCAAAATCCGGCCACGCGTCTGCAATTCCTCTGGTATTGCAGATGTCCCTTTGCCTCAATGAATATCTCGGTTTTCCCGTTGTTCGTTTGCCCACTTATGTTATAAAAAATGTCTGTTCATCCTACTTTTAATAAGTGTTACTGTTTTAAGTAAAATACGGAAGTATATTTACTAAGACTATTAAATTTTTTATATTGTAATCCACCGTTTCAACCACGAAAGGCTATATTTTTGATACGAAAGAAAATTTGATAGACAAGAATTAATCAATCCGCCAAATCTTATCTCTTGTTAGCAAGGATAATTGACAATTAGTCCAAACAAACAGACATTTTTAGGACATTCTATTGACATGTGCATATACATAATCGGTTTTCATTAGACTATAGTTATTTCAAAGAGCCTGGAATTATGAAACGTTATATAGTATCATATCTATTTGAGTATAAATTGTGTGTTATTTTTTACCCACAATATTTCATCTTACTAATATTATAAATGCGAATGTTTAGATGGATGTTTGTTTGAAGGTATCTCCAGAACGCCTGCACGGCTCTCGCTGAAATATTGTATACATATATATCATAGTCTGGAAGACCACATAGGTTACTTTGTTTTTTTTTAATTCCGCTTGGACGGAGTTGCGGGCGACAGCTTGTTTAGAACATTTATAAGTGGAAATCATTTACAAAAAAGAATATAATGCGAAAAGGAAATCCGTTGGAAGATTTAATTAAATGTCTCGCATTCATTACTGTTAATATTTATTATTAATGATATTAGACGTTAAATATTCTGTTAATTAACACGATGATTTGTGGTTTAAAATGTGTTTCATAATAGCACGATCAATTTAAGTTTTATTGTTACAAATTATCTACACGTACTAACAATTTAAATTGTAAGGCGTTGCGTTACTTTGACCTTTGGATCGAATTCTTGGATAGGTTAGAAGTGATTGTAACGGATCATCAGCCGGCTTCGGAACTTTTAAGCTAATAAACTCTATAACAAAATCTACAATCTAATGCACACAGATTTATAATTCTGGATTTTTCAATTTAAAAAAAGAGTGAGAATAGACCTGTGATTAAAAAAAAAACGTTTTCTACATTGTATTAAGTGGACCAAGTTATAAAGACTAAGAGCGTGGGATGTCCACCCTTTCGAGGTTCAGGCTAAGCGCCATCAGCGCTCGACCTCTTCAAGGCCAACAATGTCTACTCAGTCCCCAAAAAAAAGAGGTCCACTCTCCAGGTGTACCGACGGCTTAATGTGGACAGCGCGAAGTCGTGAGATCTGGAAGGCGGAGAACCGCATAATGTTTAACGCATTGGGGAAATATGTCCAGCAGTGGGCCAAGGCTGTTTTCTTTATCTAGTTTTCATTTTGATTCGATTTTATCTTATATTAAGACTCTATTTTTATTTCTTGTTTACTTATTTGGTATGCATACACATGATATAATGCAGTTGCATTCTTAACCAACTTTAAACGTGATTATTATAAAATTTGTAGTCGTGTTAAGTAAAGTTTAGTCTAAATAACGATTAGTTAGGAAACCTAGTTGGTAGGCTGACGTTTAATTTACGAACTAGTCTGTCCCATGTTGCGAGATAGTTTGTTGCTCTACATTTGAACGTTGATTGCATTTTAAACAACTCTATATGTTAGTTACATTTAATTTGTTTAGCGTTCTAAATACGAATTTGGATAGAGTATTCTAAAGATTTGTTTTTTTTTAAACGATCGGTTCTACGGTTTTTTTCATCATCATACGAATTCTTTTTTTTTAATAAGTTACAAACATTATAATATGTAATATGTTTATTTTAATAAAATAGATTTAAATGCGTAGGAATTTAAGCATATTTTTCTAAATCAATTGTTGCCAAACTTACCAAAGCAGGTGAATCAAGTGGTCCAGCAGTTCTTGATCTAGTTTTTCTTCTATCACTCTCAATATCGGACGGTCTTGATTGGCGATCACTCTCCCTGTCTGACGAGTTATACCGTCTCTTTTCATCTTCATGATTCTTGTATTTTCTGTCTCCTTTTAGGGTTCTGTCATATCTGTTTTAAAAAAAATCATGAATAATGGAGAATTAAATTTAGTAGTAATTTATCATACCAATATTAGAAATGCGAATGTTAGATGGATGGATGTTTGTTTGAAGGTATCTCCAGTACGATTTAAGGGACCTTGATGAAATTTGCCATAAATGTAGAACGTAGCCTGAAAAAACACACAGGCTACTCATTAAATTTTTAACTCCGCGCGTACGGAGTCGCGGGTGGCAGCTAGTCTACAATAAATTTTAAGTATCTCACCTTCCATCATACTCCGTTGTTCTGTACTTCTTATCATTATTCTCTCGAGGATCATTTCTTGTGTATTTATCTAAATCTTCTCTTGAATTTTTGTATCTCCTTTCTACATCTTTAGATTCATAATCTCGTTTTCTAACATCTATATCACTCGGTTCTGGGTCAGTGTACCTGTAGAAATTTAATGTAACAATCTTGGATAGGGAAAAACATATAAGAATATATCAATCGTAATTTATAAATGGTTTAGAACATACCTTCTGTACTCGGAATCGTCTCTAGCAAGATGTTCAGGGCTCTTGAGTACCCGAGTGCGACTCTTTGGCTGGACTACTTCTTTCTCTTTCTTGCTCTTCTTTGAAGAGTCGCGAGAGAATAGTTGCTTCACCTGAAAAATTTAATTTAATTTTTAATAATTCATAATTTATTTTGCTTAAAATCAAAACATAGAGAACACGTACTTTTTCAAGTCCAGAAAGCTTCTTTGTAGCTTTAGGAGGTTTCGCACTGACTTTTTCGCCGTGTCTACTGGGGCTTTTGTCATATCTGTTATGTTTAGGTTCAAAATTGGAACCATCGTCACCGCTACGTTCTCTGGACACATATTCTTTTCTATCATCTGGTTTATATTCTTTGAAAGTAGCCAGGTATTCTCCATTAGCATAAATTTGTTCACTTGGATAATTGTCCTCGGTATGTCTCCTTTCGCTTGCCAAAAATAAAGATGTATTGTGTACATCTTCATCGCTATCATGTCTCCTATGTCTAGTCCTATGTATTTCCCCGCTGGAATCTTTACGAAAATCGTTTTCGATACCTGAATCGACTAATCGGTTATCAAAGTCGAATCTACGAGGTGATCGTTCCTCTCGGTAATAGTCTCGGCTATCACCCGAATCATGTCGACGTATTCCGAAATCTTCTTTATATTGCTTGTCTTTGTTTTTAACACGACGCAAAGAGTTGTGATATGTGTCACTATTCTTTCCATTGTATCGAAGATTTGCATAATCGTCGTCACGCTCTTGAGCTATTTCTGGATTTGACGCATAATGTCCTTTCCTTTGACCAAACACTTCTTCTTTACCCTTGTATTTCTGTCCAGTTTGTAAAAGATCATGACTAGAAGTGAAATGTTTTTTAGCTCTGTACTTCTTCTCTATGTATTCGTCAGGTGAATGTATTGGTTTACGCGGATTGGATTCAAGACTGGGAGGTTCATATTCCGGCTCTGGGGGAAACACTTTTCTTTCTTCTTTATACTTTGGTTCTGGGCTTCTACTAAACACACGTCGATCGATATCTTTGTGGGATTTTTGAACAGTTCTACTTTCCGTGTTGTATTTAATATTATGATTATCTGAATCATATTTATTAAAATCTTCAGCAACGTTACTTTCTACGTATCCATCTCTTTCTAAAGTATGCCGATAATATCTGGCTGTCTCGTTTACATATTTTTCAGTAGCTTTCATACGTTTTTCGGCTTCATATATGGGATCATTTTCCATAATAAATTTAGTAAAAGTTTCATCTGTATTTACTTTTACACGATCTAACCGACGAGCGTTTAAACGTGATTCTAAAAGTTGTCGCCGGTGACTGAGTTCGTTAAAATCCAAGTCGAGTTTAGTAAGTTCAGGTTCGGTTTGTTTCCGCTTAGTGTCCATACCATCGCCTCTACCTCGAAAACTATCAAAATTATTTTGTACATCTTTACTTGTATATTCGTTAGCATAAGTAGGCTCGGGTTCTTCAAAGTTTGTTAATTTATATTCTCTATATCTTGGTGTTGATGTTACTATGTTTTCATTTTCATTATTTTTGTATTTATAATCGTAGCTACGATCCAAAGAATATTTGTATCTTTCTTCGTAACCCAGGCCTTCGTCTTCGTCTGAGTAGTTACCATGTTTCTCGACTCGTGGCGAGTATACTTTTGCTTTTCCAAACGTTGGCATTGTATCTTTTGAGTCTTTTACAACTTGTGCATAAACAATACTTTTTTCCGTTTTGTTAACGGGAGTTGGTACTCTATCAGGACTTGTAGTCCTTACAAATAAATTAGGGTCAGGACTTGCACTAGGCTTTGTGTAGGAAAATGGTTGATTTATATTGCTTCCGTTAAGTGGCGCGATTAAGTGTGCTTTCGGTGGCGGCGAATCTTGATCTTCTTTTAAAATCTTTACAAGTTGATCAACGGTTTGCCCTCGCGTTAATGGTGGTTTTTCTGGTGGCTGTTGGCTACTATGTTTCATTTCCTTATCACCATGGATATTTACATCAATATGTTGTATCAAAGTACTGTTAATCGTTGACTGTTTTGTTTCTTTCTGATTTATGTCCTGTTTGGAAGAATCAATTTCATCAAGTAATATGGTCTTTTTTATGTCAGTTTTTCGTTTTGGTGTGTCAATTATTGCAGGTGAAGATTCTTTTTCATTTGTTTTTCCTCTTTTTGATTTAGTCGATGATTTTAAATCTGGTTTATCAGGAGTTTTGTATCTTGGAGGTTTTTCAACTGGGTTAACTTTTTTAATGTCCGTAGATGTATTTTTCTGTTCATCAGCCTTGTTAGAGTTCTTTTGTTTTAATTTTTCTTTCTGAAATACTTCTAAAGGTGGTGTCTTTTTGAAATAATCTTCTCTGGGAGAACTTTCAATAATAGGTGACAGTTGTGTCTTTTTATTTCTTAAAGATTTGAGAAACTCTTCAGTCTCACTGCCTGACCTTTTACGAATAGGTTTGTTTTGACTGTTTAAAGTCGTATTCGATTTCAAATCAGATACGTCGCTTTTGCTACGTTTCACTACAACCACTGGCTTTGTAGTGACAACAACTGGTGCATCTGGGCTTTTATTTCTTTGCGCTCTTCTAAACAGTGTTGAAAGTGAGGTTCGTTCTTTTCTTTTCTTAGCCGTTACATCACTTGTAGATCTACCAAGAGGTGATTTAACTGTACCGTCTGGAGATCCTGCGTCGTCACTATTCCGTCTGCCAGATCTTTCTTCTTTGAATTTCCTTCTGTATGGTAGTGAGAAGAATTTTTCTGGTGATTGATCGGTGGTACATGTAACGCTTTTTGCTTGAGCTAGTACTCTGTTAGCTTCCTCTATTAGTTCTTTTTCAGATAAATGAGTAAATGGTTCTTTTCGAATAGATGATAGTTGATGTTCGGATGAGGCACCCCGCTCTCGGGGTTTACCTGTAAAAGAAAGTTTACTATGATAAACTATTTTCCATGTTATTCACTAAATTTATTAGATATAAAGGTATTAAATGTTATTTCTAGATTTGTTAAAGAAGAGAGAAACTAGTAAGTATGTAATATATATAGAATTATTAGTCAAAGGTAGAAGGTTATTTACTATACTACCATTTTCTGGATTAAGTTTTATGCTAATTCTAGAGTACGTAATGATGTAAAAAAATTAAGAATTAGTTTGTTTAAACGTTAGTTGCAGATGTTATATTATTTCAGGCTAAAATATGAGTTATTTTTAATTGAACCTACGAGCTTAACAACTGAGGACTTTTAATAAAAAAAAATAAAAACGTACTTCTATCTGTATTCTGAGAAAATGTGGAAACGTACAATTACAATGTAGTTACAGTATATGAATTCTTAAGGAGTATAGTACTCCAATAAGTTTTTACGTGGGTTTTTAATCCAACGAACAAATACCATGCAAAAAGTATGAATAATGTTTAGAAATACTAAAAAAAAATTGTTCATTAGTGATACCGGGTAAGGCAACATTAATCATAATGTCAAAATATGTTTTTATAGCATATGTCGTTTGTAAACTGGCTGTTATAAAAAAAAAAACATGATATATTTTTGTGAACGTTGTTTATTTGTTTTTTAATATTGGAAATAGATGTGACGCGATGTCATCATGTATTTTGATGCGATGTCCTCTCTCTCATTCCATATTTAAAGAACAAGGATAGCAATATATTTTTATATTTTTTTCGGCAGTGGAAATGTGACGTCAACACATTGAAGTCACTCAGCCGTATTACAGTCATGTAAGCTTAATCTCTGAACAAACATTTCCCAACACATATGTCCGGGTTTTCGCAATCGATCAGATTGTAACTGCAATGAGTTTTATCACAAACATTGCAATCGAATGCAGCCAAGGACATACGTGATTGTAATTTAGTTAAGTTTACTTGAATTGTTTACAAACATAGAGATTATACCAAGAATGGTCAGATCATAGTAGTTATCTAACTGTAGACAGGACAAATTCTTGGATATCTTCTATCATTCTTTTAAAAATAACTAGAACCTTAAAAAGTCAACATACAGAAAGAGTATATTTTCCCTTCCCTTTACGTCCCTTTCACTGTAATATTCACTTCCCCTTCCTAACATATCCTTATGAGAAAAGGATGGGACGAGCAAGAGGATTAAAAGAAGTCCTCCGGCACAGTCATCAGACTGTACTTGAATTGACTTCGCTCTTGAGGCGTGTCTTCTGTATGGTCATCTTACAGCGGGTGAGGCCCTAAGTGTAATAGATGTTGATGGCGTCTACCACTGTAATATTTAAACAGTTAAGCGTAACGAATTAACGATCCATATCTGTACATCGTAAGAATAGCTATCCGTTACTATTCATTGTTTTTCTTTTAAACTGTACGTTATATTTTCTTTTGTGTTTAGTAGTGCAAGACAACAAGTGCGGATTATCGTTGACGAGCCGTCGCCGGCGTCTCCGTCCGGGCGGAATAAAAACTTAATAAGTAACCTATGTGTTCTTCCAGACAATGTTTTACATCTGTGGCAAATTTCATTGAAATCTGTTGAGCCGGGCATACCTTTTAACTAATATAATACATCCATCTAAACATTCGCATTTATAATATTAATTATTAATCGAACAAAAAAAATCATTAGAGTGTCGCAAAACTATTTAAGCATATCATTTTATTAATGTATTTATACAATAGATTAAAATTATTGGTAAAAAATGACTGGAGATCTAAGTGTATCAGATCTTAACACGTTCAATGCCACAATTTTATCAAATAAAAGAGAACTCGCCAGCCGAGTCTGTGGCAGTTAACGTGTTAAATCTAGATTATATGCGAATAAAGTCCTGCACGACCAATTTAAACGCAGTTCTGGTTTTGAGACAAGTTTAAACGGAAGCCTTCATTAATTTGATCGTTAGTACCAATTCGGTAGTCTTGTTTGGCAATATTGTAAATTATAGGATACTAACTGTCGCCCGCGACTCCGTCCGTGCAGAATTAAAAAAAAATACTTAGAAGTCTATGTGTCTCAAGACTATGTTCTACTTCTATGCCTAATTTAATCGAGATCTATTGAACCGTTCTGGAGATATCTTCTAACAAACATCCATCTATACATCCAATCTTTCGCATATATAATATTAGTAAGATTATAAGTGCACAGGATGTTGACGCAATCTTTTATAATATTCTCTTGATTCCTTTTAATGAGGTTAGTGCTGGCTACTGATTTACGACGAACTCTGTGATAAAAAACGTATATCTTTAAGTAAATTTTATCGAAAAATAACGACCACATTTATAACAGTCGCTTGGATTATCTTACTAATATTATAAATGCGAAAGTTTCTATAGATGGATTACTGTTTGAAGGTATCTCCAGAACGACTCAACGTATATATATGAAATTTTGTACGGATGTTAGTACAGTCTAGTAGAACACAGGCTAGTATTTATGTTTTTTTTTAAATACAATTATGCCTGTTTTAAAACTGAAACTTTTTATTTTTAAATACAGCGTAGTAATCTAGTTAAAGTAATTATTATAAATAGACTATGTTGCAGGAATCAAATGTAGTTGGTACAATATTCATAAGTTGTATATAATAACTAGCGGACCCGACAGACGTTGTCCTGTCTACACGTCTTTAATTCGAATATTATTTAAAATTTGACACTGCGATGGTAGCGCCGTCTGTCGGATCCAATGTAAAACATTCCAAAATCAACAACTACTAATTAATTAAAAAAAACATTGTCCAGCGGACAAAATTGTGAATCTAAACCATTCCCAGATCCCCTTGAACACACACAAAAAATTTCATCACATACACACTCACAGAAGAATTATATATATAGAGATAATAAACTTTATATAATTATTCTTGTATGTAATGTGTAAATACATATATTTAATATACCATATAATAAGTATACCGATGTGATGCGACTAATCGAATGATGACTTCATACAATGGTCAAGTCACCAGTTTTTCTGGCTTCAAGTGTATTGACTTTTGGTCGCGGGTTGATTAACACGAGTGGGTGGGATTCGGATCTGTATTAAATGTGAATTTATGATGCATTGTTCTATTTTTAAATTATAATTAAATGGATATTAAACATTCTTTTATTTTCTTTTTTATTAAGTTTAGTTCGAGATTAAACTCGATCTGTCAAAAAAGTACAGATAAAAAATATCGGTTACTTATTTTTTGAATTTAGAAATACAATTAATAAATTTAAAAGAAACATACAGACTTTATAGGGTTTGGGAGCAATGACATTACAATATGGTGCCGTCTTTACGGACATTCTAATTTCAAACGTAAATAAAATTTACACTAAGAAATAATTTAATTAATTCCAAAGCAAACAGTCAACGATTTTCCCGATAACTCTATTAAAAATACACGTTACGTAAACATATGACGAATTTCATAGAAATCATTATCGTAAACATATTGTCAAACATTTTAACGCCATAACTGGCTGGTACAGTTAGAATCCGGTTGGGTGGTCGGAATTTCAATAAAAAAAATATTATAATGAGATATATGATTGCTTAGTGAGCCGGCACGTGACATTATAGAGTTTAAATTCACAATAATGATATTAAGGTTAATAAAAATAGTCAATAAGCTACTTAGTTATTGGATCCGTATGTATTTTAATGATAACAAGATTACTAATTGCAACACGTTTCAGATTTGAGAAACATTGCAATATGTTTCAGAAATATAATTATGGTAACATTGCATGTAGTCTGTAGTGAGTCTTTGTTTTAAACGCTTATCTTAGTTTCTACCAAACGGATTTGTGGTTTAAGATCTTTATTTCTCAAAGAATTTACAAAATTCACTTACGAGAAACAATTTTACAAGAACATGAAAATTTTACCAGTAGTCAGACATTACATTTTACTAACAAATTTCTTTAATTTATTTTTAAATGATGACATGGTGTTTATATCACGGATGTTTTTAGGCAGATTATTATATAACTGCGCTCCCTCATAAGCTACACTTTTCTGACCAAAATTGGTTCTGGGTTTTGATAATTTTAATTTATCTTTGTTTCTTGTTAGATATCTATGAGTCCTCTTTTTAATCATTATTTGCGAGATTGCATTATTAATATTATAAATACAAATGATGGATGGATATTTGTTAGTAGATATCTTCATAAAGGCTTCAAGGATCGCGCTTTATATTGGTATAGATGTGATATAGCGTGGAAGAACACATAATAAACAAATTAAGATATTTTTACACCGCGCGGACAGGGTCGGGCGACAGATAAAAACGTGGAGCTTAGTGTAGACATAAACGAACCTATGCAATATATATTGATTCGCGTCATTCGGAAAACCCTCCGACTGCGTTGTATTTATAAACTAAGGGGACAAATGAGTAACGAAACACCGAAGTGATTGTCGACGCTCAATAGCAACACAAGAGAAACTGAAATTCTATTTCTTCTCAGCTTACAAATAAACTCATAAGACAACATACGTAAATCAAACATTTTCTGACTACAACTATGTACAGTCAGAAACATAAATGGTATATTTGCAGTAACAGAGTCAGCTTGTACAATTAAGGCTTTACCACACTTGTGCAAACAAGACTTGTGAAACGATGACGTCAACTGAGACTTAATATTCCGGTGTATTGAGCAGTTGTATCGAGATTAAATAAGGTGGGGCGCGAGTGCAAGCGGGAAAAGTCTGAAGAGGATATTAAAAAATATTAATTAAATTTGGGTAGCTTGAATTTATTATTAATTATTTTAGTACACAAGCCCACGGGGTTCGCCTACCGAAGGGCACAGAGTCTACTCAATGGTTAACTATGTCTTAGTCTACCACCCTAGTCCAGTGGTTGACTTTATATATATCTTTGAATATCTACGCCGAAAGGTACAGGATGTTTTCCTGCACTAAGAACTATATGTCACTACATAGACAAAGTTTATTTTAACAATCCAAGGGTGCTAAAAAGCCGATGAAATATAGAGCTCCTAATTAATTTTAATTTTGCAAACCCGCTATCTTCTACAATATATCCGCACCCTAATCTTCCGACTGTGATCCGTTAGTGCACAGTTTCCTTGTATTGATTAGTAAACAGTTCGGGGCGCTAACTGGACGCGGGGCAGAAGATCTGCGAGACGTTACTCATTTGTTAACACCACTGGACCTTGACAGCTTCCGTGCTACGGACATGTGAAAAAGAAATAAAAAACATTTTAACACGCTGTATATTGTACTACTAGTTACTGTTTTTAGTTTATTCTGTAACGAATAGTACATAAAAACTCATCCTGTAGACAAACGTTTGATATCCAGGTTAGTGAAGTAAAAAAAAAACTGAACAATTTGATTAAATTAATCACTTTTGTTTGTGATTGTACAAACAGATAAAGTAATTGATATTAAATTATGATCTAATAAAAGTACAGATGACCGCAATTACTGTAGTATTATGTTGCATAATTTACAAGGAATTTCAACTTTATTACAATACCTTAAGTTCCATATTTATTCAAATGTTAAGATGGAAAAGTACGTCATCTGTTGAATCTTTTTGCACATTTGAAACAAGGTATTGTGTTGGAGAGTTCGAAATTCAAACCAGTTGTGAAGGTCAATGCAAGAGAACTCATGTGGGATGAATGTCATATCAGAATGGCGGGAAACGGTGACTGACGTGTCGTATAATCTTAGAGATATGCAATCAGTTTCAAAAATGGAAAACCTTTTTTAAGATATTAATCATAATTATTATTGGCCAGCTACAAGAAAAGAAATAGGTTAGAAAGTCATTAAACAGAACTTTTTAAATAGAATAATTAAATATTTAAATCCAAAACATATTAATATAATCTGTATTTCTTTACGTCCTAATATAAAATACTTGTGTTTATTCGGATGTTAAGAGTAACACCTGGTGTCCACCTACGCCATTGCCTCTTGTTCGATAAAAGAAGAAACGAAGATTTGTTTCAATTTTGAACCCAACACCTTTAGTAATAAAGTTTATAATGGTTTTTGCATCTTATATATTCATGGTATGTCTGACATTTGAATGGACAGATTAATTATGTCATTACTTACGTGTTCGTAAGACATAAGACATTATCTGTGGTGCTGAGAATTTTAATGTAATTTAATTTCTTAGTAAAACTGCAAGTGTATTTTATATTTATCTGTTTCAAATTCTCTTGACCT